GGGGGGGGGGGATTGGGGAAGAGGGAGGGGGATGAACGGAGACTGGAGCTATGCAAAGACTGGGAATGAAGTTGTAACACTGCTACTTAGAGTTACTTTAGGCTTTAGTTTACTTTGTTTTTAGCTTTGGGCCCGAGTTTTTGCAACACTGGTGCTTATGCTGCTGGGGAGGACGGGGGGAGGGGAGGAGGGAACAGGGCGAAAGACCCATAGCCCCTCCCTCGCGGATACGTCTGTGCTTGCTTAAAAGCCTCACAAATTGTTCGGTCGATTATGATCCTTGACAGTTTGGGCAGCTTTTCCTTTCCATCGTCGTCATGTCCTTATCATTTTTGCAAACGGCACCAAATTTCAATTAAATGCATGGAGTCGTGGTACGCATAACTCCATGCATTCATGTAAATTTTTCATGTTACCTCGCATCGGACACCACCCTTATTATTTGACAGTGCATTTTTAGCTCAACTCTGTTCGGTAATGGTGACCGAATTGAATACTATGCTCGGCCTGCTCGGAAAAGCAGCGATTATGCAACGTTCCCATCAACATCCGGGGATTGGGGACGTGCAACTCTCGTCCGAAATGGAGCAATAAAGCGGTCCGTAAATGATGATGGACGACAAACCGAGCAACAGTACACTCAGGTTTTGCTTTTCATACAGTGTTTTTTTTTTTTTTTTTGCATGTTTTTGGCCAACAACAAGTGGACATTGTGCATTAGGGAGTGGTACCCACTTGGAGGCAAGTGGCCACTCGGACATTTGCCAAAAAGACCCGAGTGGTTGCTTACCTTCGTATCAGAAAGGCCTGACATAGCTGCGCTCGGTGTATGGTATCATTTTAGTAACGCTTCTCGCAAGGGACTAGTCCTGCATTTACCCAGTCCCCTTTGAGTAGCGTTACTAAAATTCTTTGACTAGTTCTGCATCGCGTTGTAGTCAGCCTACTATTGAACTTGATGTTTTTTATCGCCTGAAGGAATTATCAGCGCAAAAGCTCCCCCGATATTTTTGGCGAGGCTTTATTTACCTCGGTGCCTCCTTGATGTAAGCAAAGCATTAAGCGTATACTTGCGCTTGGAGAGGCTGGGGTGGAATAGTTGGAGAGGGGAAGAAAGGGAGGGAGGAAGGGGGGGAGGGGGAAAGGGAATTGAGGGTGGAGGTTATAAAAGTAAGAAAAGACGAAGAAATTATGAAAATGCTTGTCTCATCATCAGACCAATGGGGCTGACTATTCTCGTACTTTTCCAATGATTATTCGATGAATTTTTGTTTTTATTCGAAAATTTTAGGGTGAACGGGTATTTAGCAGCAGCAGCAGCAGGAGCATAAAGAGGCGATTATCGGAGCGTGCTGAGTACGAAGCGCGTTATCCGTTA